TCAGTGTCAGTGGTATCTCTAAATGAACTTCTTACAATATCTTCTGTCTCACTCAAACACGTGGAATGTTCTTATCTAACTTATTGAAGTGCCATCTCTTGGAAAATCCGGCACTACTGCCAAACGTAAATTTTACTGTCTTTACCTTAGCCGAGCGTACGAATTATCACAAATTGCATTCTAAGCGATAATTGTTGTTCTACGCTTCCAATCGTAGCTCATAAGGTTTTGTATTATTCGTGCAAGTAATCCGATGTGCGCGAATTACTTTTTTTGTACATATGAGCTACAGAACTTTTGTACCAATGAAATGTTCACGTCAGGTGAAAGGTTATGATACCCTAAAAAAGGTAAATTTTTGAATATTTTTTCGTTTTTACTACAAATATATAATTCGCGCATTTACATTTTATCTCTATTTCAATCCTGTAAAAGCGTTTTCAAATCCGTTCAGTCGTTTCGTGTAGTTATTACTTAGAATGCAAATGTCGGTATTCCAGCATCGCCTTAAGGGCTGGTAGGAGAGACAGGAAAACTCATTTACACCTCATTGGCACTTCATTTACGATGGAGATACATATCTGTACTTAACCATATTTTGTTTCTTATAGAAGTGTAATATTTTGTTATATAAACCTTCTTTTAGCTAATTATTTCTTACGAAGATGTACGTTTTATCTTTCCTAAACCAAAATTATTTTCTATAATATTTCATTTTACAAATTTAAATGTTTACCAAAAAGTAGTGAGATCCTACCAAAACTTTTTTTTTTTAAAGAAAAAGATTACGCCAAGTTTTAGCAAATAAAAATTGTCTAAAAACAAATTAGTGAGATCCTACCAAAACTCTTTTTTTAAAAAAAGAAAAAGATTATGCTAAGTATATAAAAAAGTATCGTACATTACATCTTTTCTAAACCAAAAATATTATTTTCACAAATAGAAATTGTCCAAAAACAAATATGAGATCATACAAGTTGCCAAGTATTTGATTAGACATAGAAACAAAAATTTCTTTTTAATAAACCGTTTAACCATCCAAAACTGCATGCAGCAAAAGTTTAACGCCATTGTCTTTCCAAATATTTTTAAGTTTCATAAAACAGGCTTAAAGTGACTAAAATGATCAATGGAATTACAGTGAAGCAAAAACTTGGCGTGCCCGGATTGCGTTAATATTTAATTGATAAGATATATATAAAAAGCGGGCACACCAAGTTTTT